TCTGGGATTCTCGTTGAATTTGGATATAAATAAATAAGAATTATCTCTAATTCTGAACAAAGTTTGCTTACTTCTAAAGTGACATGACTGCTATGCCCATCGACAAATAAAATAACAGGAAATTCAATCTTTTCTTTTTTGAGATAAGGATAAAATATATTTTTTAAATATTCATAAAATAATTCTACATTCATCCAGCCACTTGGTGTAACACCGATTCCCTAATCATTAGGTACTGATCGTCCAATAGAGGCAGGTAATCTTTTATAAGTTAGCACAACAGTCGGTGGAGTTGTTACTCCACTTGCATTAAATGTAAATAATACAGTCAAATTTAACTTAGAGTTTTCTCTATCGATTTCATAAACATTTCGTGCTCCACGAGGAGCTATCACATTTTTCTTTGGACATACCATAAAGTACGTTTCATCACTATTAAATATACGTGTTGGATCTTCCAAAATATGTAAATAGTTATGTTCTGCTAAATAATTATATACCTCTTTAAGCCAATTTTTAATATCATTTTTACTAACACAAGAACTAGCATTGGTAACTCCTTCTGGATGTTTTTCATTAAGAATTGGGTTTCTTCTTAACAAACCTTTATACCATCCATTCCCTGGTACGTTGTTACGAAAAGGATTTTTTATCTTTGTTTGATTCAAAAATTCTTTGACACTAGTTTGTACGTTGATTTTTCTCACAGGAAATCCTTTCCGTTGGCAATCAATAATCCAATTTACCAAATCATCTTCTCCACTACGACCTAATACAGGAGCTGGACCTGGAGTTGTTTTCACAAATGCATTACTCATTCTAAACTGGATAGTCGATCTTGGGATACCATATTGTTTTGAAGCTGCATGTTTTGACATTCCATTTTTTATTGCATGAATAACATCTTCAATTTGTTTTTCACAATATTTTTTTTGGTACTTGTAATCTTTTTTACTTTTGGCATTTTTTAATGAATCAATTTAGAAATGTAACCTAAAAATTAAAAATTTTTAAATAAAAAATGTTATTAATTATAATTTTTACATAAACTAATATATTTATAATAAATTATTTGTTTCTATTTATTATGTTATAATATTAAATATGGTTACAGCTGAAAAATATATTTTTTTAGTAATAACAAATATAACTTACTGTCACTCGATGTAAGAGACCAATAACTGTCACATAGTTTTCATAATCACAAAACAATAATTGGCCGAATGGCCAATTACTGTTGTAAAACGTCAATCGTGTGTTAGTCGTTGGCATAATATAATTTTTAAAATATGTATGTTATTTTCACCGATATAAATTTTTTTTACAAAATTTAAACTTTATTAATGCATGTCTATCACGAAAACAAAAATTATATGTCATAAAAACATTTAAAAATTTGCAAATTGTTGGTTCCACTCTTTTTTGATTGAATGGCTACAATTTTCAAGTATGTTACCAAACTCATTTTAATAATTATTTATAATTGTAATATATAGAAAATAATTAAATATTAATTGTATTTGAAGCAGAAAAATGTATCAAATATTTTTTTATTTGTAATTAAAAACATTTTAATAGTATTTTCTTTTAATCTTTAATTTTTTTAAATGTGGCCAATAATCATTGTAGAGTGGCTAATAACTGTACTATTTACCCCTATGTGTGAACAATCTTATTAAAACTTTATTTTTTTACAAGAAAATTATTCATAGCATTCCGAGGGATGGAAGGAGACATGAGCTTTACGATAGAAAATCATCGTTCGCCTCATACCTACCGCCACGTGGTCTGCCATCGTTGGTGAGACAAAAGCAGAACGATAGATACTCTTCTCTAATTATCTAACTCTCATGTCCATCTCATATGAATAGTTCGGATATGAATTATAGCTCGGACATGAACCATAGCTCGGACATAAACCATAGCTCGGATACAAACCATGTATCATTATCGACTGTAATGGACTGTAGTTGACGTCCACTTTGTCAAGCGGCGCATTAGGACAATGTGCTCGTTAAAGCAAGATGGCCGCTCTCAGGTTTCTCTCTGCCTATAGCCTTTAAAGCTTTCGCACATGAATTGCCATAACCATAAACGTAAAACGTAAACGTAAGCTGAAGAACCAATTAGGGCCTATCTCATGGACGTAAGAAATACTGGACAGAGCATAAAGTACTCTTTTAGACGAGGGGAGTGAAATCTGAGGGGTAAGGGGTTTATTGTCGCGACCATCTTAGATGCATCAGATTTAGCGTCTATTTTCACGTCGCACGGACGTAAATCATCTTATAATATATAATAAAATATGAGAGATTCCGTGAAATCATCTATCATCTGAAATCGCTATGTTATTCCGAATCATTTTTGAATATTAAGAAATTCAAAAATATCACACTCCGTGAAATTAATATCCGTTGCCATCTTACATGCCTCATATTCCGTTGCAGTAGACATTTCTTTCCCTCATCCTTTGAGCTTCACCCCCGCAGCAATACACTCTGTCCAGTATTTCTTACGTCCATGGCCTATCCAGACAAACTTGCATAGATGCATATGCATAACATAAGACCATATGGACCAATGAGCATCGAGTATTATGTTATGTAAGTCAATATAGCGATTTAATATTCGATGCTCATTGGTCCATATGGTCTTATGTTATGCATATGCACCTATGCAAATTTGTCTGGATAGGCCCTTAGAATATTTCTTTAAGGCTTTCGCACATGAATTGCCATAACCACTAGGATTTTAACTGGTTGAAATCTAGTTACTTCTGCTTACGACCAACTTTATCATCATTTCTATCGTCTTCTAGAATACATAAAGCAATATTCTGATTGGTTCTTCAGCTTACGTTTACGTTTTACGTTTATGGTTATGGCAATTCATGTGCGAAAAGGCCGCAGCACACATTTTTGCATAAACGCATAACCATAAGCATAAGAAAATTGATTGGTTCATTTTCTTATATACTTGGGAACCAATCAATTTCCTTATGCTTATGGTTATGCGCTTATGCAAAAGTGTGTGCTGCGGCCTTTAACGCTTCGATGGAAACTAGACAGTTTCACCAGTAAGAAACTCGGGAGATGTTTACGACAATTAGGCTGATGGCAGAGAACTAGATGTCTGTCGTAGTCGTAGACGTAAAGTAAGGCAGAAAAAAACGTATGTCGTACAAGGCCATTGTCACAATGGCCTGTGGGGATAATAAAGGATCGGGTATCCAAAATGACGATCAATATTAATATTACAATGTAAAATATATTTAAAACGCGCTACGTATTACACGTGTTCACTATCGCACGGACAATGGGGGAGAAGGAGGAATTCTCTCTATTTCGAGTGGCGCTGCGCTTATACAATTCTGCCAACTGTTGAGTGTGACTGTTTTTCCCCTAGCTGGTCGCCACAGGCCTTGTACGACATACGTTTTTCTCTGCCTTACGTCTACGACTACGACAGATCTAGTTCTCTGCCATCAGCCTTAATCGGATCTTTGATCGGGCTGAGCAGTGGTACTCAGCGATAGGCTGATGGCAGAGAACTAGATGTCTGTCGTAGTCGTGGACGTAAGCGCTCACGTCTAGTTCTCTGCCATCAGCCGTACTTTATGTTCATGGCTACGACCATGGACGTAAGAAATACTGGACAGAGCATTGAACTATATAACAAACTGGAAGCCGCGCAAAGATACGTTTTGTTTATTATTCCCGAGCCGAGAGAGACAGATGCTAAGTTGTCATGCTTTCCTTGTCTTACATATTACCTGAGCTGAAAACATTAGTCTAAAGAAATGTAGCATGTGCAATGTAATACGTATTTGTTCAAATATCATTTTTTCAAATTAAAATTGTGATAAAATAGTACATACATACAGTTTTGTTTTATCTACTATGGTGTGAGAACTTTAGACGAATCGACTGTAATACGTTAGAGAAACAAAGAACGCATCACCTTTTAGCCTCCTTGTCTAGCAGGCTGGATCGGCCACTTTCTATGGTAGCGCGGCTTCCAGTATGTTATATAGTTCAATGGGACAGAGTGTATTGCTGCGGGGGTGAAGCTCAAAGGGTGAGGGGAAAGAAATGTCTACTGCAACGGAATATGAGGCATGTAAGATGGGGACGGATATTAATTTCACGGAGTGTGATATTTTTGAATTTCTTAATATTCAAAAATGATTCGGAATAACACAGCGATTTCAGATGATAGATGATTTCATGGAATCTCTCATATTTTATTCGATTTACGTCCGTGCGACGTGAAAATAGACACTAAATCTAATGCATCTAAGATGGCCGCGACAATAAACCCCTTACCCCTCAGATTTCACTCCCCTCGTTTAAAAGAGTACTTTATGCTCTGTCCAGTATTTCTTACGTCCATGGCTACGACAGACATCTAGTTCTTTGCCATCAGCCATAGACTTTCTAAATTTCCCTAAACTAATCCGGATCAATGGCCGGTATTCATAGTCCGATCTTATATTTGAGATCGTCTTAAGTTCGAGCTTGAAATGCTACGCAGTTATTTGATTGGTTGAAGGAGATCTTAAGTCAACCTCGGACCAGACTTAAGACGATCTTAAATATAAGATCGGACTATGAATACCGGCCAATGATGTGTCTCTGAAGTAATCGAATTAGATTAACAACTTATTCTTATTTTATAGAAAACATTTTATTCCAGTAAAATACATTTGTTTATTAATATATATTTGATAAATAAAGATATATTAATTAAAAGAATAATAAAGTATCTTCTATAATTTCTTATGATGTTTTTTCACAATTTTTTCGATCAGCTCGATCGCAATTTCTTTCGATGACTGTTAATCTAATTCGATTACTTCAGGAACACATCATTGATCCGGATTAGTCTAGGGAAATTTAGAAAGTCTATCGCTGAGTACCACTGTTCAGTCCGATCAAAGATCCGATTAATTATCGTAAACACCCAAATGGTGTTCTCTCCTATTGGATACTCCATTATGCGTGAATCAATCGTGCATCGATAGGTGGCGGTTTCAATTTCTCTCACGTATTCTCACGAATTGAGAGTTGCGAGGGATGCACATACAAGGTTCATACCACACGGGAGAATCATACGGAAGGATCAGAGGATCATTCGACGATGCCGATGAGTCTCGTTGGTGTACACATACAGTTTACCTGTTGATAATCGCGCTTCGAGCACCAGAGTCAAAAGAATAAAAATTCACGTGGAGCATGATGCATTCGCGGTGAATCCCGCGCGAGACTGGACGCCTGTTTTTCTTCGAGACGGTCAACATTTTCATACAGAACAAGCGCGAGCGAGTTGATATGCGTTCCAATTTCGCGTGTCGTCGTGAAAATTAGCGCTGTCATTGTTCCTGTCGCGTTGGACTGTGCGATGTTTCTCGGCTGTAACGATTGAAGATATAATGTAACTCTTTGCGACCGTGAAATCGGTCGACCCTCGATAAATTCTCTTCGCTAATTGAGATTTCTTTGTGAGAGAGGATGGGAGAGAAAATTCGCATTACATTGGAATGTGGACACACATCAGTGTTACGTGTGCATTCCACTCCTGAAGGGTATACACATGATTGGGAAGTTTTTGTGCGAGGGGTGGACAATGCGGATATACATCATTACATTGAGAAAGGTGTGTGACTTTTATTTCTTTTCTTAATCCTTTTTTTTTTATTACTATTTTTCATCAATAGATAAGTTTGCTTTAACAGTCTGCCTTTGCAATAATAATTTCTTTGATATTTTCAGTGGTATTCATTTTACACAATACATTTCGAAATCCCAAAAGGGTATTGAAGGAACCACCATTTGTGGTAAAGGAATCTGGCTATGCAGGTTTTATAATACCTATTGAAGTTTATCTAAAAAATAAGGATGAGCCCAAGAAGGTTTGCATGCAATACGATCTTGTTCTGCAGCACACTGCTGCACCTTATAATAATGCCATACTTCACTCGGAAGTAATTCTTAATCCTTCCGATGAGTTTAAGAAAAAACTATTGAAAGGTGGTGGTGTAAGTATAATATTGATATAACTAACCTAACAAACTTCAGAGTTATATTTATATAATTAAAGTTTAATTACACTGGTCAACACTCAAATTTTTTCCTGACATTTAACGTGTATTATAGGTTATATCTAAGGCATTGATTACAAAAAAAAATACTTGTAGTTGTACTATAATTTATGTTTCTTTGTATCAGCTCTACTTTTTTTATTTATAAGATATTACAATTATATTGATTATCAATGTTTTTGAAAGATGTATTCGCCACAAATATAATAAAAATTATCTAGATTATGTAAACAACGTCTCTGAGTCGAAGACATATTGATAATTGAAAAAATAATAATAAAAAAACTGCACTTGATGTCCAAAGGGGTAGTCTAAAAATACTAAAAAACAAGAGCTGTTAAAAAAAAACTACTGTCATACTTGAAATCAGCACACTTAAATAAGTCCAAAACTGCAAAATTATAAGAGAAAAATGTAAAATTATTTTTTTTTGTTGACCAGTGTTATATATATTTTAAACCTAGTATTATATATATTATATATTATTATATGATACTATCGTGTTAATATTATATCATACAATATATTATATATTATCTATAAATAAAAATTTGTTAAATGAAAAGTTATACTGCAAATTTATAGCAAGTGCATATATAACATAATTTATAAATAGTTGATCAATTAATGGTTATTTTCTTAATTATATTTTATAATTTTAGATTATAGAAAGGTTACCTATTAAAGACAGTTTAGTAGAAAAGAGCGATACTAAAACACCCACAATGGTTAGCAAAGCAAAATTAAATGGCAGTGAAAGCAAGAAACATCGCATTGCTGAGTCTAAAACTTCAAACTCGTTTCAAGAATTATTTGGCCCTCCTATAAAGACAGCACCTCTAAAAATATCACCAGACAGCAAAAAAACAAGTCAATCTGATAAAAATTCAGTTCCTAAACCTTTAGCTATTAGTGAAAAATCTGACAAATTGGATAAAACAATTAAAAAGGAAAGTCCTCATAAAGATAAAAAAGATAAAGTAGATGAGAAAAAGGATAAAAAAGGTAGAGACAGTTCTAAAGATCGGCTCAAAAATAAAGAAAAATCTAAGAGACCTCCTAGTCCGGGAAGTAAAAGTCATTCAAGTCCTGGAAACAAGAAATCAACATCACCTGTTGTTACAAAAAAACCACTGAGTCCTCTTCCATCATCTACAAAGAGATCTGTATCACCTAAGTCTAAAGAAAGAGATGTAAAGAAAATTTTACCGGATAAAGAGAAAGACAAAGCAAAAAGTAATTCTAGAAGTGACATAGATTCATCTAAATCTGAGAAAAAAAAGGATAAGAAAAAACACAAAGATGATAAGGACAGGGATAAAAAAGACAAATATAAAGAAGCAGAAAAAGTTAAAGATGTTATGAAAATGACTGAAAAAAAATCTGAAAAAGCAGATAAAACAGAAAAAACAGAGAAAGAAAAATCTCAAGAATACAAATCGTCAAGAGATGGCAGAAAATCTCCAAAATCTACGAAAGAAAATGATAGAGTGAAAGATGATAAAGCGATAAAAGAAAAATCAGAAAAAAGTGAAAAATCTGAGAAAACGAGGGATGGCAAAAGTGATAAGGATAGACAAAAGCACAAGCACAAGAAGAGAGATAAAAAGGATAAAAGAGATAGCAAAGATAGGGAAAAGAAAGATAAACGTGAAAGAAGCAAGGATGGAAGCGAGAAACAAAACAATACATCTTCTGCATCGGTCGGGAACTCATCTCTTTTAACTGAAGTTCCAGAAAGAGACAGCAGCGATTCGGCACCTTCCGTAGATGATGATTCATTACTCGAAAGTAAACCGGTACTTGGTATCAAGAAGGAAACAGAACATGCAATAATATCTACGCCTACAGAAACAGCAAAGCCACTGTCTCCAGATATATCGGTAGATGTAAAAAAGGAAAAGAGTGATCGTAGTAGAAAGGATAAATCCAAAGGAAGCAGAAGCGAGGAAAGAGAGAATCGAAAAAGGAAGAGAAGTAAAGAAGATGATGAAATTCCAGCGAAACGTGAGAAAGCCAGGGGTCATTCGACATCTCCGCCTTTGGAGCCAGTTTCATCAAGTCAATCTCCAGTCGCGATGGATGTTGACTCCGTCCACCATTCAGAAAAGGAGGCGAAAAAGGAATTTAAAAAAGAGAAAGATGATCGTGTTAACTCGGTCGATCAGGTGACAAATGACAAGGACATGGAAATTGATGCTGAACAGGTGGCCCCAGATTCTACAAACAGCACTGATGCAGAGATCAGTGAACCACCAGTGTTTTCAGAGGATTATGTATCACAATTGAAAGATTTGCAACAAAAAATAATGACATTGCAAGATAACGAAGAGTTACAAAGAGTTGTGCAAGTAATTGCAGAGACTGGTCAATATGAAATTACTAAGAAAACATTTGATTTTGATTTATGTGCACTGGATCGTAGAACTGTACAGCGTCTTCAAGAATTTTTTTCTGCATCGTGACCAGTTGCAGTATGAGGTATGACACATTAACTTATATATACATTCTTGTAAGATCACACATTAAGTCACATGATTTTACAACAAAATTTTTTAGTGACAAAAGTAATAATGTATAAGATCCCAGAAGAATTTTCAAATACATTCCTCAATTTATTAATGCATTAACTTATATCAATTAAAATTGTATCATTATGTTAATATACATGCAACTAGTGAAACTTTTATTGTAATAAAGATGATAAAATATATATATATATTTTTTTCCCTATAATCTTAAAAGAAATTGCTATTGAAAGAGTGCTCGATTGACAGAAATTTTACCATTGAAACACTTAAGCTGCAATATAATTTGATGCACATAACTCACGATATATATGATGTATATCTAAAAGTACTTTTTTTTACTTAACATTAAAGCTATTAAAACAATTAATTTGAATTTTCAATCTGTTCAATCAAAGATAATAACATCCTCTTAATATTAATTATAATTATTGAGAGAAATGTTCAAATTTTTATAAAATAACACCCTTCTCTTATTTACATAGCAAGTATGTATTAAAAAATGGACATGAAAATTTTTTTATTTAGTGGAGTATTTGTAATGTTCTTCTGGAATGCTTTTAAAAGTGTCTTTAAAATGCATTTATTATATATGCTATGTGCTACAACAGTTGATTTTACATAGTATTTGTATCATTGTTACATTGATTTAGTGATAGGACAAATTGTTTATAAGCATATAAACGTGCGCGTAATCGCATCATGTCTTTGTAACATAGACGTACATGTTTTCCTTTTTTTTATAAGTAACCGCCTTACTATAGGTTTACTTATTTATATTGAGACTATATATTTATTCATATTTGTGTGAGGGTGTGTGTGTGTGTGTGTGTGTGTATGTGTGTTAGGGCTGTTTCAACAACTTTTCAAAGATTCGAAGCTTCGAAAGTCGAAGTTAACTTCGAGAATTTTCAAAGCTTCGAAAAATATTGGCAAATTCAGAAAATACATCAGAAAATATATGCTGAAAATATTGTAAATAAAAGTAAATTAATTAATATATTTACACAAAACAATTATTTAAAAGAAAAATGATTAAAAACGTATTAGATTATTAAATTATAAAAAAATTATTAGAAATCAAAATTTTTCGATATATTTTCCAACTTGAGATAATTGCATCCTTTTATTCGGATTTCGTTATATAATTTTATAAATGTATCGCACGATAATATAATTTTCGAAATTTCAATCTTTGAAGATTTTAATATCAAAGTTTGATTATTGAAGTCTTCAAAGTAAATTAGCAGCCCTAATATATATATATATATATATATATATATATATATATATATATATATATATATATATATATATACACAGGGTGTTTCATTTTAAACGTCCCAGGCAAATATCTCGAAAAATATGGAAATTATGAAAAAATGTTTCCGACAAAAGTTGTATGGTTTCGAGGGGGCCATAAGATAGTAACATTGGTTTGACCTTGAACAGTCATTTGAAGGTCACCTTCAATTTCTTAAATGAAACCTACATTTTCTCATTACATATTCTTGTAGCTTATCTCGAGAGCTTTCCAAAACACTATAATAAATTATTTTTCCATGAAGTACTTTTTGAGTTATAAGGCTTGAAATTATTTCTTAATTTTACATAAACCATAAAATATATTGTAAAATATTATTTTCGATTATTAATCTTATGTAAAAATAATAGTAATATAAGGCTTGAAATTATTTCTTAATTTTACATAAACCATAAAATATATTGTAAAATATTTATTTTTCGATTATTTTAATACTTTTATGTACAAAATAATGAGAGGAATCAATTAGTGTAAAGAAAACATACAGTTGTTTTTAAGAAAAAATATGGAATTGTTAATTACAAATTACATATTTTTTCTTAGAAACAACTGTGTTTTTTTTACACCAATTCATTCATCTCATTATTTTGTACATAAACGTATTAAGATAAGATAATCAAAAAATGAATATTTTACAAGATATTTTATGGTTTATGTAAAATTAAGAAATGATTTCAAGCCTCATAACTCGAAAAGTACTTGATGGAAAAATAATTTATTATAGTGTTTTGAAAAACTCTCGAGGTAAGCTACAAGAATATGCAAAAATATATAGGATATTCCATTTAAGAAATTTAAGATGACCTTTATGAGACCTTCAAATGACTGTTCAATGTTACTATCTTATGGCCCCCTCGAAACCATACAACTTTTGTCCGAAACATTTTTTCATAATTTCCATATTTTTCGAGATATTTGCCTAGGGCGATTAAAATGAAATATCCTGTATATATATATATATATATATATATATATATATATATACATTTTATAAAAATTAATTTTTATGTTAACAGAGACACAGTGAGGATTTATGATAATATTTCCTTGTAATATATAGGACGTATTATATATGTATTATATAACATATAAGGACATGTGTAAAAGAGTTATAATGATTACTTGTGTGATGCTGCGATATCTTATAAAATGCTACAACTTAAGAGAAATTCTTTTTCATCTTAACATATATAATATTTTCTCAACTAAAAGAGAATTGTACTATTATACATATATATGTAAAAAGGATACATCATATTGAAAAGGCGTAATGCTGCTAAATCAATCTAACTCTTTATACTATTGATAGCTCATCTGTGTAATCTGTTTCATTACAAGTTCTGTATTCAAAATTAAATAATAAATATTGCAAATACAGGCATTGTATGTATATCATTAATGTATGCTACATCATTTTCTCTTGCATTATTAGTTCTCTCTCAGACTTAAAATGAATTTTGTGCTTTAGATAAGATTGGCGTACGTAATAAGACTGGCTTTCTTCTCTCTAATGACTTTCGCTTTTTTCTAATGCGCAATTTATCCGATTTTTGCAGCATTGGAAATGCGTGTAGTACAACGATGTAATCCTGTATAATATTAGTCATTTGTATAGACCAGTCATGATGTTATGTGCAATTGATACATCAAATAGTCTAATGTTTTGATAATGTTAAAAAAATAATTATATAATAGTGTATATTATACATATAAGTTATGATGATTTATGTGTGTGTAATTTTTGCGGTGTATTATTCGTAAGAATGATAGTTAAATAGAGCGCGTGAAAGAAATATCATACGGTTCATATTTCAAGAAGCAAGTCGTTATCGATCGAAGAATCAAATCTGTTTATGCATGTCTGTCGGTTGATGAATATTCAATGTTATACCGTTCTCGGCATACATTGCCATTAAAGGCAGATAAATGAAGTGAATCCTTTCAAGTGATGTGGCATCTTTGAAGATTTTCTTTTTTATGTTTTATTTTCTCATTTTTTTTTTCGTTTACACGAATGTTTGTATAAATATCTATTGAAATATTTCTATTATTATTACATTATATATCTGTGTACTTTTTGTTTGATGATAAATATGTAAAAGACTTAAATAAAATAAATATATAATAAATATATAAAAGACTTGATAAACTTGACGAGGACTTTATCAGAAAATATTAGTAGCTCATTTTTCGAATACTTTTATGCAAAAAGACGCATTTCCATGAGTATTCTAAAAATTATTTGAAAATTGTATTGTCATCACTTGAGAGATATTAAAAAGAGAGTATGCGTGTACGAGTCATAAATTGCTATGAATGTGGCTTTGCCATATTGCCTGCTATATATAAATTAACTTAGAAAGCGCACATATTTATTACTACAGATTATATTGCAAAACATCACAGATTAATCAATGACTGTTGTATTTGATCTGATTTGTTTTTCCTTTTTTAAACACTTTTTTAATCCTTACATAATTGGCATAAATTAAAAAATAGTTTTCTAAGTATCTTGATGAATGTATTAATCGTGTAATATATTCTCTACGGCAATGCATCAAAGCGCTTTCTTGATGTAATCAAATGATAACGAGATATTTTTTACAATCAGTTATAAAAGATAGGTAAAATAATAAGACTAAATATAGTTTTTAGACGTCTTTTTCAGATGCGACGAGATGGACGAATTTTTTGTCATAATTTTGCGAATAAAATTTTTCATCAATGTCAAGTATGTATCGAGGAAATCTATGGAAATGTTACAGCGCGTAACATCCGTATAAACATGTATTTATTTATGAAATTTGCAAATACAGGGTAGCCCCGAACGTTCCAGCCAGACTTTGACATCTTATAGGAAATTTAATTCTGAACAAAAAATTTCCTATAGACATGGGTCGAAAAATGCTTCCTTAAGAAGTTATCGCTCAAAAACCTCTGATGAAGGAAGAGCAAAAGGTGAAAAAAAATGAAATAAAAAGAAAACGAAACTAAATAAATTTCTTGAAAAAACCGATAAAAATAAAAAATAAAAATCTTTTTCTTTTATGAAAATAAAATAATTTTTTTTAAACTAACTTTATTTTATTTTCAAAAGAAAGATTTTTATTTTTTATTTTTATTGTTTTTTCCAGAAATTTATTTAGTTTCATTTTCTTTTCACCTTTTGCTCTTCCTTCATCAGAGGTTTTTGAGCGATAACTTCTTAAGGAAGCATTTTTTGACCTATATTTATACGAAATTTTTTGTTCAGAATTAAATTTTCTATAAGATTTCAAAGTCTGACTGGAACGTTTCGAGGCCATCTTGTATATGCGCGCACATATATGTTATGCGCATTCTTATCATAGTAATACGATATTCAGTTCGCTTTGTGCATGAGTACACAATCTCTTCCTTTTTCATAATCGTAGATTTCCATCACCTTTGTATTCTTGTGGCATTGTTAATGCGTTAAATTTTTTATTTTTTTCTCTCTCTCTCTCTCTCTCTCTTTCTCTCATTTAGAAAATATCTATGTTATTATATGAAGATCTCGTGCTCTTTATATGTCGTAAAATGAACTAAGTATCATTTGACCGCATCATTTAGTTCTGAATGAGTATATGTTCATTGTTTTGATAATTACGTTCAAACAGTGATGCATAATGTATATTAATAATAATAATAATAATAATAATAATAATAATAATAACAACAATACTGTGTCCGAGTTTACTCGATCTAATCGTTATGGCATAATATTTAATTGCATATGTATAGTCATTAAAATCATTGTTATGCGTTTTTGTAAGAATTTCTAGATCAATGTTGTATAAAGCTCATAGATTGCACAAAAATTGTACTCATGTGATTCTCATTTATATGTACATAATAAACAAAATAGATGATAGCGTGCAAAATAAAATATGGTCGATGACTTTGGAAGTTATAGTACAAGACGCGCGAAATTACTGGATTTATATGCCATTGAAACACGATATACGTTCTGTATGTACATTTATTAAATAATTAAAAAATAAACGTCATGAAAGAAAATAATTGTATCTGAAAGACTTTTTTTTTTATATCTTTAGCAGGGTTGGGTAAGTTTATATATTTTTTTTAAACTAAATTAAGTTAAAGTTAATTTGTTAAAAAATTAATTTAGTTATGTTAAAAGTTATACAAATAAAAAATTAACTCAATAAAAGTTACGTTAAGATTAAATTAACCTTAGTTAAGATAAAAGTTAAAATTTTGAAAAGCATTATTTCACTTTATATTATAAATTAGATTGTAATTTTAAAATTAGATTACTCTAAATAATAATAATATGAATCATCAAATAAATTTGGGGGGAAAGTTAATAAGTTTAAGTTTAGGTGTTTTAAAAATAACTAGTTAAAGTTAAAAGTTAACTGTTTTTAAAATAACTAAGTTGAGTTAAAAATTAACTTTTTTTTTAACTTTTAACTAATCAACTAGTTATTATACAACCCTGATCTTTAGTCGTATGTAATATTAGAAACTTTAATCTAAGCCTTGGCATGTTTTAGACGCTATTTTAATTATATTTAATTTGCTTATCACTATGTGTGAAATAGCAGGAAATTAATATGTGAAAATATTGATTGCTTTGCGCAGAAATGCGCTTTTATATTGGTTCATTGATTTTATATTATTGTTTATTGAATTTCTCTTAATCTTTCGTACACAATAATGTAACAGAATAAAATTACGATCCGCTCACATCGATAGAGCTCCATCATAATAATAACATTAATTACAAGGATAGCGACTGTGAATAATAAATGATTCACGGTTTATCCTTTAGTTATGTCTCTTTTTTTTCGTCGAATGATAATGTAACGAGCTGTAACATTGTTTGCGCAAATATAGAATATCGATTTTTTCAATCAGAAGGTTTAAAACAATTATTAGACACGCGAAGCATAATGGCGAGATAGTAAAATAATCTAATATCCTGCCAATTCGGCGAATGTCGAGTCCATTTCGTCGGCCAGCGACTTGTATCTGTCCTTGTTTAAGCCCAATTCATCTGAGAGAGGAAACAAAATGAGTTCAGTTTCATTATTTTTGTGCAAGAGAGAAAAAAACAAGAGATATTTTTAGTAAAACGAACTCACCTTCGAGCCTATCGACCTCCTTCTGGAGCTTCTTGACGGTCTTCTCGGCAAATTCGGCGCGAGCTTCAGCCTCCTTCAATTTGACTGTCAAGGTCTTCAATTGACGCTTGAATTCCTCGACTCGTTGATTGGCCTGGAAATATTTACAGAAATTAGCATAGATTATTTTTCAAAATTTTCAAATTTATTTATATATTTTCAAAATTTATTTATATATTTGCAAAAGGAATTATGGGAACACTTGTTTTCCAGCGAAATAGTCGTATAAGAAATACTATTACTACATTAACAATCGCACTGTACCTTTTCTTCAGATACTTCCAAAGATTTCAAACTGTTACCGACGACCTTCAATTCTTCTTCCAGTTCCATGATCTTACTATGAGAGTGAAAATAAAAATTGTGTGATTTGCAGCCTACTTTTTATCCTCGCATTAAACATATTAGCACAACGATCTTACGCTTCACCAGATTTCACGCGATCCTCCGCAACTTCGAGTTCGTCTTCAACGAAGGCCAGCTTACGCGATACTTCGTCAGATTTTCCATCAGCGTCTTCCGCGAGCAGGCGAGCTTCTTTCAGTTGATTCGTCAATTGATCCATCCTCTCTTCGTCCTGTTGCGCACGATTTTCCAATACTTTGCACATACTGCAATTATATCGTTATATATCTCATAATCTGTAGGAATACGCAGCTTGATAATTACATAGTTAAATTACATACAATTAAGTTACATATAGTTACCGGCTGGATTCATCGGCGGCCTGCGAAGCTTCAGTCAGTTTAGCGCTTGCAGTGTTTAATCGTTCCTCCGAGCGCTCGAGGTCCTCTTCAATGAGCTGGACCTTGCGATTACGGGCGGCTACTTCAGACTCAGCCTAAAAAAATTAAATGTATAAAAATTAAAATTTTCATTGATAAACCTTTTATTATTATTATTATTATTATTATTATTATTATCAGGGTTGGGTAATAACTAGTTGATTAGTTAATGACTAATTGATTTTTAAAAGTTAAAAAAAAGTTAAAAAGTTAATAATTTTTAACTCAACTTAGTTATTTTAAAAAAGTTAACTTTTAACTTTAACTAGTTATTTTTAAAACACATAAACTTAAACTTATTAACTTTCCCCTCAAATTTATTTAATGATTCATATTATTATTATTTAGAGTAATCTAATTTTAAAATTACAATCTAATTACAATTTAATTTAATATAAAGTGAAATAATGCTTTTCAAAATTTTAACTTTTATCTTAACTAACGTTAATTTAATCTTAATGTAACTTTTATTGAGTTAATTTTTTATTTGTATAACTTTTAACATAATTAAATTAATTTTTTAACCCATTAACTTTCCAGACAGCACAGGACATTCTATGGACATTCATTTTATGTCCATTCTATGGATATTCATTTTATGTCCATTTTACGTCCGCACGTCCATGGATATAAAATAAACGTCCATCGTACATCCGATTTAAGACATCTGTTAATGGTCAATATTTGGACGTCCACAAGATGTCCGGTCTTGGAGGTCAAAGTTTCTCACGAGCACGCAAGCATGTATTAGTTCGTTCGTTTACCGCTACGCGACGTGCGATGCGCTATCTTTCTCGTATTTAAGTTTCAGTTATGAGAATTATATAAAGTTTCCAAAAGGTAACAAATAAGATTAAAAATGTATTGTTCAATTTAATTTCTGATCTAAAGCACGGGTTTCAGATATTAAATTGATTTTATAAGTCGGACAAGTAAATGTCCGGCAAATAAACGAAAATAATTTTTCATTATCTATTTAAGATGTAAAGTGCAATATACAAGTATAAATTATAAATAAAATTGTTATATAACATTTTTATGTAAAATTTTATATGAAATAGATAAATTATATTATTATTTAGGGATTGAAATATATATGTTTAAAAATTATGATATGTTTAGATCATAAAGGTTGTTCTTTTTTCACACATATAATACACATTTTTTTTAAATTATCTGTTTTATAATCGTTTTGTGCAAAAAAAGTAACATTTAAATAATATGTGATATTGCATTAATGTATATGCGATATAAATTTTCTTCAATAAATGTATTGCTTAAAAGAATATATATTTCATCTTTTTAATATGTAAATTCAAATTTTGTATGTAATCCCTTTTTCATCTCGTTATTACATCCATATAAAGTCCGTTTTGTATATCTGTTATTGCTAATTTATGTCCATTAGTCGTCCAGCGGATGTCTTGAACACGTCAGGGATTAAATTATGTCCACCAATTTCATATTTAGATATGCTATGGATATCCACTGTATTTGAGGAACATAAAACGGACATTTATGGATATTTTCAATATCCTTCAAGGATATTTCTAGAATATTTTATGGATATCTGTGTGCTGTCTGGGTTTAACTTAATTTAGTTTTAAAAAAATATCAATTTACCCAACCCTGATTATTATCGATCTCTTTAGATTTTAATTGTTCATAATGGTTAACATGAATATTTAATATCAAAATAATGTGATAAAAGAAAATTCAAAAGTATAATACAGCGTTTCGCGAAGAAACCAACAACCAACAAACTTCTAGAATATATTTTAAAATTTATTATAAGCAAAAAAGTTCATACAGATTCCCCAGTAGCAGAATGACGTCAAATGACGTCTTAATAACGTCTTAATGATGTCATAGACGTCTTTAAGACATCTTTAGACGTTTTTAAGTTGTCTTTAGACGTCTTTAAGACGTCTTTAGACGTCATCTTGCTACCGAATTAATTAATTCGATTTGATTATCGAGGTATGGAAAATTTAATTGTTGTCAACTGTATCCTGATCTGTATCATAACTCGATTTCCTGATTTATCAAGAAGTTAACTTTTTTTGCTTAAAATAAAACTCTAGAAGATATTTCTAGAAGTTTATTGGTTTTTTTTTCAGAATATTCTATATGGATCCGAAAAAAGCTTACGTTGGTAAGAGATTTCTCGCGATCTTCGAGATCCCTATTGGCTTGCTCAAGAGCTTGCTTGTTGGCCTGCAGATCACCTTCGACCTGAGCTAATTTTTTCGTGAGGTCCGCAACCTCCTCGAGAACTTTATCCGCGCGCAGATTCGCTTCCTTTGCCTGCCCTTCGCAGGTATCGGCCTTATCCATAGCATTATCCTTCTCAATCTTCATCGCTTGCATCTTCTTTTTGATGACATCCATGGTGGCGGCTTTGTTTTGAGGACTGTCTCAACGGAATTATTGAGTTTCCTGAAAATGAAATATTCCTATGTCAAATTCCATATCGATCATCATAATGAGTCATGCTTTCGCATGCCTATTTGAATCTCAAGTTTGAATTGGAGGTTGCATTTCTGAACATATGCGCACTCGCGAATCATCATGAATCCTGCATCATCGAATTCTGCAAAGCTCATAATTCCGGCGGCTGATCGCAACGCATAAGCACGAAGAGGAGCACGTATCAAGGCGTCTACGGAAATAGCATCTACAGCCCGATTCTATAAATATGTGCTATAACGACGGCGGAGTTCTGATGCCGTGACGGCGCAAGAAGAGGCCAAAACGTAACGAGTGTAACCCAGAAGAACGGGCTTTACTTGGCCGCCATCGCCGACCGACATTCGATCTAACCGACGAGTATTAATAGCATTTTACAAAATTTTGGTGAGCCCTCCGTGATCGTGGCCTCCTCGTGCGGATTTTGCGGGTCGCGAACACTTAAAAAAATAGTTTTGCAACTATAGTAACAAATTTCTAGATGCGAAACATTAATTGAGATAGATAAATGATTAGCAAATACTGTAATATTATATATACTTTGCACTAGGGTTGGCATGTTTTAAACAATGTGTTTAAAACTGTTTGATTAAAACAGTTTGTTTAAAACAGTGTCCATTGTTTTAAACAGTTTTTGTATTAAACTGTTTTAAACTATTGTTTAGAACCGTTTAAAATATCGCAAATAAAATATATGATTATTTGGAAAAGAAATTGTAAAAAAAAATTAAAAACAAACAAAAACTAATAGATGTGTATGTTGCAAAAAAGTTTTTGTTTTAGTGTTTTTAGTTTTTTATCTATATTTATGTAACATATAGATATAAAAATATAAATAATAAAATAAAAATGATAAGATGGGTATTATTTTAGCAGAATATTTATTTTTGGATATTAAATAACAATCAATACAATAAAGATTACTTAGAAAATATTGACTGACTTTACATTTTACATTTTAGCATTTTAAATTAATAGTACATAACTCATAGCAGGTCAGTAGTTCTAAAAAAAAGTTCTTCTTTTAAAAAGAAGAATTAAGATTTTTTCTTTTATTTAAAATTATTTTTCTTTTATTTAAAATTTATGTGAGTTAAGCATGAAGCTTAATAAGAATAGGAAAGGAACCAAAGTATTATATATTAAATATTATTAACTAGAACTTTTTTTTAGAACTACTGATCTGTTATGAGTTATGTACTATTAATTTAAAATAATAAATATAAAATGTAAAGTCAGTCAATATCTTCTAAGTAATCTTTATTGTATTGATTGTTATTTAATATCCAAAAATAAATATTTTGCTAAAATAATCCCCATACCCACCCATCTTATCATTTTTAATTTATTATTTATATTTTTAATAGCATTGTCAATTTTGACAACGTTTTTTACAGTTTAACACTAGCGAAAAATTTAAATATTTACACAAATCAAAGCTATTAAGTGGTTTTTGCTTGTTTAACAACATTTGCTTGTTTAAAACATGCTTTTTTTTGTTTAAAACATGTTTTTTTTACTTTACTTAAAAACACAAATAAAACAAAAAACATGGTTTAAACAAAAAAAACAATGTTATTGTTTAAAATAAAAAAAAACAAGTTTTTTGCCAACCCTGCTTTGCACTTAATCAATCTAAATGATAGAAACAAAATTTATATCTGAACAATTAGTGAAATTTAGGAAGAAAGTCTTTCCATATTAAAGCATATTTATTATAAAGTTTGACTGTAGTACACAGAAAAATTTCACAAAGATCGTTCTAACTGTAATATCAAAACTTAAAATATCCAATGTAATAATTAATATTTGGCGATGAGATTTAAATTTTCCAGAAAATATTGCTAGAATTTGCTATTATAAATTTTACATATTGCAATTCTAGCAGATATAAAAAAATAACGCTAAATTTTTGTTATAAGAAAATTTCTTTATTTAGGAATCTATTTATATTAGCAAAACATTTTTTTAAGTGAATTAAACTCGTTTTGCAACGACATCTAACATCTTTACAGAAAAAATGCGTACATTTTTGTGACATTGTAAAAAAATTAATCGCATTAAGATAGGAGAATGCCACGTAATCAAAAAATAATTTGTACAATTTGTTAAACAGATATTATGATGCAAATTTTTAATATTACTTGTAATTTTATACGTGCGATGTAAAGTAATCGGAGTTAACAGGGAAGATTTAAAACAATCAATCTGTGCATGAAAGACGTTAAAACAGAAATACCATTAAAAAAGCTGTGTATGACAATATAATATTTTATATTGATTTTCATATAAAGCTTGATTTTATATAAAGTTATCTCCTGTTATATATCTACGTGTTATGAAAAATAACGTGTTACGAAAATGTAGTAAGCAAAAACGAGAGAAAAAGAGCGCAAGATCACAAGTTATTTTTAACGATTTATTCCAAAAATTTTTTAATTATTGATAAAAATTGATCAAAATATTTATAAAATTGATCAACATATATTATTTAAAATGTAATATTTTTAGATATTCCGAAATATTAATAGCCTGTAAAAGCCAATGATTATTATTCAATGTCAGTATCATCATACTTATTTCCTTTATTATAGAGAAGAATAAAGAAAAAATAAAAAATAAATATTCGCATGTACGTTCTCTATTACATACACTATTGATACGTATACTACAGATAATCATGTTTTTAAAAAATGTAACATATATAGTCAACAAAATGTTTAATGTAACAAATCAATATATGCATTATTAACAGTTACAGATTCTACTTACGACATTGTTTTCTGTTAAGCCCGAAAAGAAATTATCTTGAAGCGTTAGCAGAGCTATTATTATTTAGCAACAATTACAAAAGCTCTTGCAAAGCTGTCCGAGTCTTCGAAATATTGTGGATCTTCATGAATCGTCTACGTAAAGCCTCCTGTAGGAAATTAAGCTCGTCCTTCGCCTGATGTGAATTTGAATATAGATCAAAACAGAAATCAGATGAATTTATCCATCATATCAATATCAAGTATTAAAAATAATGCGTGGATGGATCATCGATCACAAAAACGGATTAATTTTGAGTTACCAAAATTCAAAATAATATTGAATAGGGTTGCACGAAATATAAAGAGATTAATCCTGATATTGTCTTGCCTTATTTTGTTTTGAAATTCAAGACGAGATTAAGACAAGATTTTCAATTATTTATCAAGATAATTGAGCCAAGTTTAAGAATTTCAAGAATCATGATTTAAAAAAAATAATATATATATATATATATATATATATATATATATAAATTAAATGAGAAAAATTACACTATATATTTAAGACGAGATTTTTTGCTACAAAGATTCATTCAAAAGCAAGATAAGATTTAAGTTTTCGAATATTTTCAATATCAATACAATATTTTTACTTGGAACATTGTCTTGTGCAACCTTAGTATTGAATCATTTGTAATTTTGAGGGATTTTTTTCTACATAAAAATTATATTTCTGCACTTCCAAATGGACCTCGTGTTTTAAATACAAATGCTCTACAGTCGTGATCTTTGACCGATCTCCATCATGATGATCGACGCAATCTGATCTATCCGCGCGCGCAGAGGGGTTTCATTTCTGAAAATACTACTTACTTTGGCACTGCCAAATATATCGACGAGTCGCTTAAAGCACAAATTCCGGTATTAAAACTCCTTAAAGTTTAAGCACCGATTAGTTTGCCACTCTCGGATATATATGTATTCTTGATTTATCCTTTGATTTATTTATCAATCAATAGTGATCGCCGTCCTCGTCAATACTTCTCCAATCGTTCTCCAATAACCGATGAAAGTTTATTCTGCATATCGCTGCCACACATTTTAGCATAAAGCGTATAAAAGACAAAGAGGCATACAAAGAGAAAGAGAGAAGAAAAAAGCAAAGCGTTTTCACCGCAGAAAAAAGCATATTATCGGAAATGATGCACTTACCTAACTCGAACGATCTGAACTGCGCGAAACGAGTATCTGAACGGAGAGGGAATGGAAAAGCTGTCGGACGAAAACCGCGCGCGTGTCGCGGGTGGGGATCCCAAAAATGGCCCGCCGCGAGCCCCCCGTAACACGTTTATTTTCTGCTCTCGCGGAGAGACGATCTGTCGCACCTTCGTTCATCATGATGGAGCGCACAGTATCATCGGCGTCTTGCAATTGACAAACTGTCAAAACAGTAGGTGCTATCGAAAGTATTCATTTACATTCCCAAATGAAATAAGCTTTAGGACTATTTCGTATTTCTTGTTAAATCAGTTTATATATACCTGATATATTTATTTTTTTGTGTAATACAACTATATAATGCGACATTTAATGTAACAGTCAATAAACTCCCATCTTTCATAATGCACAATAGGAAAAATTTCCTTTTAGAAAAAGAAAATATATTACGTACTTTTTTTTATGAGTCAATTAATATAAATCAATTAATATAATTAATGCGTATTAACAGAAAATAATTGAGATCTCATTTGAAAAAAGAAAAACTTTTTAAAGAATATAGAATATATTTAGACAAAATGTTATTTATAATTATTTTTTATTTATTATTTTTCGTAACCCATGTCTATTGAAACAAAGAATGCCACTTATACAGACACAAGTTATACAGCATGTACAAGTGTTTAAAAATATTTACAAAGATTCAGATATATATTTTCATAAAGGATTAATACGTTCATAGAGAAATATCCGATTTCTTTCTCCCTTCTCCCTCTCTCTCTTTCTCTCTCGCATTTCCTGTTTTATTTCCGTTTCACGTTCTTCGCTCTTGGCGAATCATTTTTAGAGACCACTTCGCTTACGCGTTTACTGGCTCTGTCAGATATTTATCATCGTGAAAAAAATAAAATTTATTTTAAGATCGTCATTTCAAATATTCTAATTAGTTCAGTTGACAATGAGAAACACAACTATAATGTAGAACTTGATTTTGTAGATAATGTCTCAATTCTTGATTTTTTGTCATACTTGAAATTCTTGGCTTTTTTTATTATACGTACATACACACATGTCGAATATTTCTCGATTAATTAATATAAAGCCCTTACAGCATAACTTGTCAAGTATACCATATTTGGCAAGTGAATATTTTATAAAAATTTATATTTCTTTTTAGATTTCTTTTTTGTTGCATCGTTCTGCAGTACAATTATTTCAATCTCAATATATATCATTTTAATAAAATCTTTGACATTATTGTTGATAAAAACATTAAATTATATATATATATATATATATATATATATATATATATATTTTTTTTTCCTTTTTTTTAAAGAGATAGAACAGCGAGAATATATATGACAATTATCTATTTTTACATCGTTAATATATACTTGTTTTATAAGTACAACTTTATTACAATAGAAAGATAACACGCGTTAAGGGATAAATAGCTGTGTAATATATTTGTCTCCTTATACGCTCAAGTCCAAAGTTTATGGAAAATATTACAAAGAGATTCTTAATTTGGAGCAGATAATTAGAAGATTGTTTTGTTATTATGTTTATTTGTGCTGTTATTACGATAAGATCCGAGAGGGTTATGTTATTTATTTCAATATTCTGTGGAGAATGGGAGAGTATAGAAAATGATAGAATTCATGAAAAGTGTATGTCGGATAATGTTATAATAATACATTTAGCTTTTGGATTATGATGCGAAGAGAAGAGAGAGAGGGGGGGGAGGGGGAGAGAGGGAGGGAGGGGGGAGAAAGAGAGGGGGAGAGAGAGAGTGAGAGGGAGAGAAAGAGGAAAAAACATTGAAAATGTATGTACAATTATTATCGACTTATAAAATGGACTGAACATTGCGATAGACAGGTGAGCGCCAGCTATAGAGAGAGATACTATATAGAAGGCCTATTTTGTCTCTCTTGCTAGCATTTCATTGGTAGATTTTTCGACATATCGATTAAAATTACCAATGAGATCCTCGCGAAAGAGACAGACATAGGTTTCCTATGTAGTACCTCTCTCTCTGTAGCTGGTGCTCACCTGTCTATTGCAATGCTCAGTCCATTTTATAAGTCGATGACAATTACACATCCCAGGTAGAACATGAAACTCATAATGACATCATTATGACGTCACCTAAAGTCATTTTAGAAAAATCATAATGATCTCTTTTGATATACTTTTGGCAATGTTTTGGTGACTTATTAATATCATTTTTTATATCTATTACACAATTATTTGTTTATTTAATTATTTATGTATATTTTAATTATATTTAAACAACATAATCTTTTTAAAATTATATAATGCGATTATTGAACTTAAAAATTTATAATTCTTTTTGTCATCTTTAACTCATTTTTTAATCATTTTTGTTTGGGTAACTTTTAAGTGATAAATAAAATTATGATGACGTCATAATGATGTCATTATGAATTTCATGTTCTACCTGGGATACACGCACTCACGTATATGTATGTATATATACAGGGTGACCGATTTATCTGAAGATATTGAAATATTTCAAGAACTATGCATCGGATCAAAAAAAGTGGGTAATGAAAGTTGTTCGTCTCGAAGAGGGACATCCAATGATACCAAACTCGATCCCCCATCGCCACCCCCTGCGGGTGGGGGTGAGTGAAGATAAAAAACTTAAATAGGAACCCCCATTTTTTATTGCAGATTTGGATTCCCCAGAAAAAAGTACCCCAATTTGTGTGTGATCTACGAGTTTTTGCATTTTGGTTCACAGATGGCGCTGTAATCGACAATAATCAAAATGGGTAAAAAATAATGGGTTGAAAATTGGGGATATCTCGAGAAATATACATCAGATCAGAAAAATAAAAGTAGACGTATTTGATATTTTTAAAAATGCTATTCAATGACACGGAGATGCCGCTACGCGGCGTACCAAACTTAACTAAACTAGTGTCCCTACAATGCAAAGTCTGGACAATCCGAATCAAAGCCCCTCAAAATGGCGTCAATGTGTGATGTAAGTATATAATGAAAGAGAGTTTCTTATAAAAGAATTGAAGATACATAATGAGAAAAAGTAAGTAATAAATAACATATATAATAACACATAATAATATATAATGTATAACATGTCAAATATTATAACATATAATTATTAATACATATAATACATATAAATTATTTTATCTCTAACTTCTAAATAATATTAATAAAATATACATTTAATTTTAATGATAGGCTAAATCATGCCTTATTGTTGTATCAAGTGTTCCAATTCCTCCTTAATATTATGCAATATTTTGTTATATCTATTTGTTTTGCTATGTATGTGATCAAATTTTACATTTAGAATAAATAAAATATATAAATAAATCTTGTTCTTCAATGTTTTACCTTTATTCTAGGATTTTTTATTTTACTTTTCATTATTTTATTTATTTACATTACTTTATTTATATTAATGATGTTTTATTGTTCTTTGAATGCATGTGCGTTCCCGCTATATTTTGATTCGTTCTGCCATTTTGAGGGGCTTGCGAGCTGAATTAATGAAAAGATGTCTATGGCCATTATTCATAGTCCGATCTTATATTTGAGATCGTCTTAGGCCGATATTCATAATCCGATCTTATATTTAAGATCGTCTTAAGTCTGCTTGGAGGTTGACTTAAGACCTCATTGAACCAATCAAATAGCTGCGTAGCATTTCAAGCTCGAACTTAAGACGATCTCAAATATAAGACCGGACTATGAATACCGGCCTTAAGGCCCAGTTCCACAATCCAGTTAATCCGAGTTTAAGTAGTGAATGGACCAATCAGGACCCAGTTTAACGTATTAAACTCGGATTAACTTGAGTTGTGGAACCGGGCCTAAGTTCGAGTTTGAAATGCTACGCAGCTATTTGATTGGTTGAATAAGGTCTTAAGTCAACCTCGAAGCAGACTTAAGACAATCTTAAATATAAGATCGGACTATGAATACCGGCCTATGAACTGTCCAGACCATGGACGTATAAATATATCTGGACGGAGCGTAAAGTTAGTTTTATGGCGAGGGGATCGATACTGGCGCGGGGAGGGATCGGCCATCTCGTCTGGCGACATTTTGGCGCTTTGTTTAAAATATGACACATTATGATATTTTATTTCTATTTCTATTGCATGAAAACAGACTTTTATAGAAGAGAATATTAATGCAACAGTTATACGCAATTGAAAATAATTTTCTATTTATATTAAAAGTATATCTTTTAATATAAATGATACAAAATGATATATTTTTATTGGGTGCTTTCCAATTGAGATATCCCTAGACACTTTTATGCACACGGCGACACAAGTCGCGTTCCAATTGCCGTAACTGCCGACACAACTTTACACATCCGTACTCAGCTCGAGGGCTACTAGTCAACTTGTGTAACCTTCTGTTTTCTAGGGACAAATGAAATATGCGGTTACAGACTGACGGCGATTATGTTGGCAATTTTCTTTTCGTTTTATCCTTTTTAATTAAAAGACAACCATTAAAGTACACCATACAAATACAAAAATGGACAATAAAAATATTAAAAGTATCATTGAAGTAAGTAATTCAAATTAATGAGTTTTTGTACAATTAATTTTTTTATTATATTTAATAAATAAAATAAAATTGTCTCTTTTGCATATTTGCAGGTTAGATATATTACTGATTAAATTTTCATTCATATTTATATATTAATATAATATGCATTTATATATTTTATTTATATATTATTTATATATTATATAATATTATGCATATATATACATCTATGTATGTTAATCCATTTTATATATCGATGCTATCACCCTCAGCATGGATTAAAAAATATCAAGATGGACATGGTTATGAAGAATCCTAACCCTCCACTCGAAAGTCGCACATTAACTTTGTTCCAATTGAGTCGTGCACATCGCTACACTTTGTGCCTTCCTGTGTATGTTTGTGTTAAGATGTGTTAAACAATTGGAAAGCACCCATTGACTTTCTAAATTTCCCTAGACTAATCCGGATCAATGATGTGTCTCTGAAGTAATCGAATTAGATTAACAACTTATTCTTATTTTATAGAAAACATCTTATTCCAGTAAAATGCATTTGTTTATTAATATATATTTGATAAATAAAGAT